TTTTATGCCTCCGCGCGTAGGAATACATACCTGGAGTGATGCCTTTTATATACGAGGTACTAAACTTTGGTTTCAGGATAAAGCCATACATAAGATGGCGTGCTATATTTGAGATATAGATACGCGTGCCGATGTGCTTGTTGGTAGTTCAAGGTTACCTCGTTATAACGCTAATTGAAACCACGTGCCAGTCCTTCTCAGTGGACCGTTTCTCACAATGGGGAAGCTTGTTCCGCCATTGCAGATTGCTTTGAGTCTCATCGCCTCGTGTCTTTAATTAGAATACTATGTCAAGGCTAAACATGGAGAAGAAATGTTTCCAGATCTTACAGCCAAGTAACAGGTCAATGACGTTGTACGTGGGCCAATTTCGTATAAAACAGTATACCAAACCAAGTAAAAAAATCCAATTGGCCAGATATAATAGCGGATCCGATGACCATGATTCAGTAAAAAGCACCAAATCATTTTACTTTCTCAATATGCATATCTTTACATAAATACAAACTATGAACACATATATTACAATTAAAACAAGCTGAAAATTTGTCGCAAAAAATTGATGCCTCTCAAATTATTTTCGTCCCCACTTGTTAACGTCATAAATTAGACCCGCTAAGGTCCTTGTCTTCATCAGACAATGCTTGTCTTAAGTGGTTTATTAAACAGGAGACGTAGGCCATCGGCCCATGACACAGCAGTTGTACATCAGCCACAATATATATTTCCTACTTTAACAGAGTTGTTCTCAGTTGCATAGAATTCTCAACATACATAGCCAACCTCCTTATAAGATCATTGTTATCACTGGACATTAAAAGATTAAATTTAGCTAATGTTGGAAATACGTAGTATTTTCTAGGAATAAACTGTTCACGTAAATCGACATAAGCCTGGCATACTAACAAGAAGTGGAACTCATCATCAACATAGTTCATTTTACAAACATTACAAAATCTTTTTTTTCTTGGGACATTTGAATATCTACCCATCTAAATTTTCAGTTTGTGAGAACTACATCTAAACTTGACTAAGGCGACACGAAATTTCCGAATAGTTATATGCTTAATATAATGCTCTGGGTGTAAGTTTGACTTGTACATAGAATAATTATATGTTTTAGAACCTTGTGACAAAGATGCTTGCCAAACTTGCTGATAAATACATTAAGCTCTATCCATAAATTCTGATAAAAACGACTGAATATTATCAATGCATGGCATGGATAGCAGTTTATACCAATATTTCATACAACGCTTATAGGCAAAGATATATACCGGGTATCTCCCACACTCGCCACGAACAACATGGTTTGAAGTTGACGATTTCACACCAAGGAAATATTTACATGCTTGAACATGAACTCCTTCAATAGCACTGCTAATCTTACATTAGTACCCATACCACCAGCTGCAAAATCAGATCTCTACAGTGTCGTGATCTACTAAAGTCAAATGGGTATGGCATCTCAAGCGGTCTAACCAGGAAGCAAAGAAAGGTATTATCAGACCTGAAACAGAATAATAGAAGAGGATATCATAAAAATGGACGGCTTGTTGTTGTTGACCGTGACAATGCTTGTCGTAACAGGCTTTTTCGGCTTGTTGGTCGAAATGATATCAGTCGTATCATGGAAATCATATGACATCTGTGACGTAGTACAGATCACGTGACATCACAACTGCAATGAAGATCACATGACATCACAGCTATAATAAAGATCACATGACATCACAGCTGTAATGAAAATCACATGGCATCACAGCTGGAATGAAGATCACATGACATCACAGCTGTAATGAAAATCACATGGCATCACAGCTGTAATGAAAATCACATAACATCACAGGTGGAATGAAGATCACATGGCATCACAGGTGTATTGAAGACCACATGGCATCACAGCTGTAATGAAGATCACATGGCATCACGGCTGTAATGAAGATCACATGACATCACAGCTGTAATGAAGATCACATGGCATCACAGCTGTAATGAAGATCACATGGCATCACAGCTGTAATGAAGATCACATGGCATCACAGCTGTAATGAAAATCACATGGCATCACAGGTGTAATGAAGATCACATGGCATCACAGCTGTAATGAAGATCACATGGCATCACGGCTGTAATGAAGATCACATGGCATCACAGCTTTAATGAAAATCACATGGCATCACAGCTGTAATGAAAATCACATGGCATCACAGCTGTAATGAAAATCACATGGCATCACAGCTGTAATGAAGATCACATGGCATCACAGCTGTAATGAAAATCACATGGCATCACGGCTGTAATGAAGATCACATGGCATCACAGCTGTAATGAAGATCACATGGCATCACAGCTGTAATGAAGATCACATGGCATCACAGCTGGAATGAAGATCACATGGCCTCACAGCTTTAATGAAGATCACATAACATCACAGGTGGAATGAAGATCACATGGCATCACAGATGGAATGAAAATCACATGGCATCACAGCTGTATTGAAGACCACATGGCATCACAGCTGTAATGAAGATCACATGGCATCAAGGCTGTAATGAAGATCACATGACATCACAGCTGTAATGAAGATCACATGGCATTACAGGTGGAATGAAGATCACATAAGATCACAAGAATCCTCTGTGGAATGACAAACATTGATACTCAACCAGGAAGTGCTCCTACCTAGAATACCCCAATACCGCCTTGTAACAGTCAGTGGTCAACCAGGTAGTGCTCCTACCTAGAATACCCCAATACCGCCTGGTAACAGTCAGTGGTCAACCAGGTAGTGCTCCTACCTAGAATATCCCAATACCGCCTGGTAACAGTCTGTGGTCAACCAGGAAGTGCTTCTACCTAGAATACCCCAATACCGCCTGGTAACAGTCTGTGGTCAACCAGGAAGTGCTTCTACCTAGAATACCCCAATACCGCCTGGTAACAGTTAGTGGTCAACCAGGAAGTGCCTCTACCTAGAATACCCCAAAACCGTCTTGTAACGGTCAGTGGTCAACCAGGAAGTGCTCCTACCTAGAATTCCCCAATACCGTCTTGTAACAGTCAGTGGTCAACCAGGAAGTGCTCCTACCTAGAATACCCCAATACCGTCTTGTAACAGTCAGTGGTCAACCAGGTAGTGCTCCTACCTAGAATACCCCAAATACCGCCTGGTAACAGTCAGTGGTCAACCAGGTAGTGCTCCTACCTAGAATATCCCAATACCGCCTGGTAACAGTCAGTGGTCAACCAGGAAGTGACCCTACCTAGAATACCCCAATACCGTCTTGTAACAGCCAGTGGTCAACCAGGAAGTGCTCCTACCTAGAATACCCGCATACCGTCTTGTAAGTGACTGGTCAGACACACCGAGCCAGGAATATATAGATACCATCCAGTAACAGCCGCTGGTCACACGACGCACCGTGAGTAGTCTGCATGACTGGGTCGGATTTCCCTCGACCAAGGATGTGCTTACCGTAACGGGAGAAAGCTGCTTTGGTTGAAACACGACCAGACTGATGACAGCATTCTGTACATTGACGTTAGCTCGTCTGCCGTGGTGCTTTGATGCAGAAGAGAAAATATTGTTGAGAGATATTGTTGACAGATATCGTTGACAGTTATTGTTGAGAGATATTTTTGATAGATATAGTTGATAGATATTGTTGACAGATATCGTTGACAGTTATTGTTGATAGATATAGTTGAGAGATATTATTGACAGTTATTGTTGAGAGATATAGTTGATAGATATTGTTGACAGATATTGTTGACAGATACTGACAGTTATTGTTGAGAGATATTGTTGATAGATATAGTTGAGAGATATTGTTGACAGATTTGATAGATATTTTAGACAGATATTTTGATATATATTGTTGACAGATATTGTTGACAGATATATTTCAACATTAATTAAAGAACATGTTTTGTTTGTGTTGGTTTTAGTTGGAGCTCGAGACTGGACATTGCGTGAGGAAAGAAAACATATCAATGAAATATACATTCATCCATTTTGTGCAGAAAATACTGTATAATTTTATTTTTGAAAATATTGGGCAAGAAAATGATACAAACATCTTTCTTTTTATGTTTATATTATCACATTAAATAACGGTCCTCTTCGTTAAAGATTCAACAATGGCGACACAATCGTCTATCATGTATACTACGACTAAAGTACTTTAGCTAGCCCCAGAATGATAAGTGTCTCATTTTAAATACGCTTCACAATATATAATGCAATATCCAAATGAAGCCCAGACCAGAGCTTAATTTCAAGCTAAGGTGAAGTTAACTTCAAGACCTGAGCTGGATTATTAAATAATACATTCTCTCGAGTCCCAGATACATACTGAATTACAAGTTGCAAAGGGACTTTTGAAATTGAATAAATCTATTGTAAACCCAGCTCAACTAGAATTATTGTGTTATCTGAGTCTCGAGACAATCACTCTTTTGTCATCACTGACAGAATAAACTGAAGATACATATTCTGTGTGGGAGTAACGGGAGAATGGCGAGTTCTTGGTGATTAAGTTTCGACGGAACTGAGCTGTTGTGGAATAGGTTTCGGTTCGATCACAATACCTCAATGATAGATACTTAATCAAGGCTTTTTAAAAAAAAACACACGCGAATTCATATGTATTCATTTCTGAAGTCTTTAAGAATAAATAACGAATTCTACATGTTGATATCAATTAATGTTAATAATTCATAGTTTTGACACTTGACCCTATTTTAAAAAGTCTCTCAATGACAGTGTATCTGAATATAATCATCACAAAACCATCTTCCATCTTTATGATCTTTTCCCCGCCGTGCTGACGAGAACCATCTCCAGTGTCGTCAGTATTAGTATGGTTCAAGGTCACGCTTGTTAAAACAGAAACATCGGAGCTATGTAAGTATATGAAGAAAAACACACCTGTGCCGTATGACGCTCAGTGCCTCAACCCCCTCCCTGCACCGCTACCTCCCCTTCCCCGACTTCGTCGCGTGCACGTTCTGACTGTAGCGTTAAGCCAAGGCTGTGGGTTCACACAACATTGATTGTGGGAATGGTTGTAGGTCACTTGCTTGCCTATGCTACAGCTGTCGAGTCGTGCAGTCGCTGACTGTCTTGGCTAAGTGGATTCATTCTCGTCGTCTGCTCGCCTCATAACTGTCGTCTGCTTCAACCGGTCTCGGACATATTCGAACAAATCGTGAGTACATGTTCCAGTTTTCACCACTTCCTCTTAGTTTTCTGCAGAACGAGTTGTTATGTTTACTGCAGGTTTTTCGGAGCAGACGACAATTCTAGCGTCTATATATAACCCAACTCGGAGCAAGGATGCTCTCGGCTTGATAATTCATCCGCATTCGTTTCAAAGTTTCTTCAAACACAGTAATCCTCTTCTGAAACACAACTCCGTCGGCGGATCCTTCGTCGAGAGCAGACGACAACGTTTCTTTAGTTTCAGGAAAAATCGATTGACACAAAATCCACCTGTTTTCATTTACGTTTAGGTGGTAGCCACGGTTATGCTTTCAGCTGATCTCCCAGGCACGTGTGCCATAACATAGCCAACATTTTGTAAGTGACTGTTGCATACGGCAGTTTTCCAGTCAGTCAAAACTGAATCTACGATAACAAGGAAGTGGCAACATGGAAAGAGTTCCAGGGTATATAAGACAGTATTGATATGGGAAAACCATTCTCATGACAAACATTTCTGCCATAACTCGACTTATATAACCGGAGTAGATATTCCTTTAACCAGAACTAATTGAAATGGGATATCGATGACCTAATCACAATATTTACATTCCGATTTCGTTGTGTGTAATGGGGGCGGTGTGCATGTATGTGTGCGTGCGTTTCTATGTGTGTGTGTGGGGGGTGGGGTGTGTGTGTGTGTGTTCGTTCATTTCATTCTACACTGTGAGTACTGGCTATTAGACTAAGGCTTAGTCTCTGAATATATATAATTTTGATAGTAACAAACAAGCCCATTTATATTGAAAAGGAGCCCTAGGGAGACAAGAAATTCAGAACCTGAAGAAATCTAGACTTGCTTTATTTAGGGCTTTAGCGCTGCAGAGAGAGCTTGGCAGTAGGGAATATAATGTGGTTCAGGGACTGTGAGACAGACTAACTGGCTATTTACATCTCCAGTTACTGTAGAGATATGATTACTCACAGTTGGCCCTCGATTATCCAGTTCCAGGCAGATAAATGACTCATTTCACAACAGTTTAATGACTGATTCACTGAAACAACGCCACTAGTATATAGTCGACAGAACACTCATACCACGAACGGGCTAGGGACCCACTGTTGTGTGTGACGCAGACGAGAGAAGTACGTAGACGTAGGAGAGTTTGAGAGACTATGGTAGGGATTATCTATCCAGGGTATTTATCAGAACAAGATAGGTAACAGCCCTTGATAATCGAGGATGAAGCGATAGAGTTGGTTGTTTTGCGTGTCTTGCTGCTTGAATGGAGCAATCCTGAGAATCTGGCGATTCTACTTCAGGAATCAACAGAGCCTTCTTCCGGAATCCACAGATTCTACTTCAGGAATCAACACATTCTCATGGTTTCTCCGACTTAAAACCTCTGTAAGAGTTGGTAGATCATGTCTCTATAACTGTGCACATTGATCAACTGTGCGTCAGGTTTACTTGTTCCAGTTTTGGTCTGAATTACCAAATCCATGCTCGGAATCAACAATATCATAATGGTTTACAGCTGGAGCACCGCTGGCTGCTGCCTAAAAGAACTGTCACTCACTTCCTGATCTATTTGTAAATTTGTTGTAGGGGTAGGTAAACATACCTCAAGTAATGCAGCATTAGCTGAATGTGGAAGATACAGTATGAATGTAGATTATCATGTTAAATGTGTTACATTCTGGTGTAATGATCGTTATCCCAAACAATGTCATAATTATAGACTTAGACTAGATTCTGTTGGTAGGATTACTTGGGTTTCAGAAATACGAAAGCTCTTAAATGAGTATGGATTTGGTTATGTTTGGCTTTCCCAAGACATCGGAAATGTGTCATTATTTTTATCATTATTTAAGCAGAGGTTAGTTGATTGTTCAAAACAAAATATCAGTAGCAATATCATGGATTCATCCAGTCTTGTACATTTTAAAAGTATTATATCATCATTGCCGCTTGATAATCACATTTTATGAATTTATGTAAGAGACTTAAGAAGATATTTATGTTTGTTAAGATTCAATGGATTACCATTACGATGTAATATTAGATGTAAAGAAACTATGAACACAGATGTAATTTGTAAGGTGTGTAATAGTAATAGAAATGAAGATAAAGTCCACTTCCTATTTGAATGTCATAAATATGTAGCACTACGAAAAACTTATTTACCTCTATGGAATAATTTAACAAATGCTTGTAAATTCATACATTTAATAACTTCAAATGACATGGTACTTTTATTGAATTGTGCTAAATTTATCAAATCACATCTTAAATGACGACCTTCTGTATATTGACAACACAAAGGTCTGCCTATTGTCAGTGTGCACAGTATCATCTCTATTGCTTTTTGTACATGAGCCAATGGCAAACAAACTGAAATAAACTTCATACATTTGTTCTATTTAAGAAACTCAAGAAGCATAGGCTTATTGTGTTTACAGGCGACTAACGGGATCGGATGGTCAGGTTCGCTGACTTGGTTGACACATGTCATCGGTTCCCAATTGCGCAGATCGAGGCTCATGCTGTTGATCACTGGATTGTCAGGTCCAGACTCGATTATTTCAAGACCGTCATATTCTCTAATATTGCTGAGTGCGGCGTTAAACTAAACTCAATCAATCAATTATTGTGTTTACAAATGATGCCTACCTGGGACTTGTTTGTCGATATTCAGTTGATAATTTTTCAATAACCATATCTCCCTCCCCAACTTTCCAAAATATTGACCACCTCGGATAGAGTAGACTATGTGTCTACTTTCTAATTTTGCTGAGTATATATATGACCATCCATTCCGCCAAGACGTTTTTGTACACTGTTAAAATGAGTAAGATCCTCTCTTCCTAAATCAGTCCGAGCAATTTAAGAACACTTACATGCAGAAACTGCCGTGAGCGTATAAGATGTTGAAGCAGATTGAAGACAGGCATGCACATTAAAGATAAACCTGTCTGATAAGGTGGATTCACCATTGCTTACATGACAGGTATATAAATACATGTTTATATACATTCCGTATTGTAGCCCGATCTCGCCACACTGTATCTATACGTGGACTGTGAGGGCTGAACTAGCGATGGACCGGGAGTCATGTCGCTTGTCAGTTTCAGTGTAGTTTTGTTCGTTGTGTATGGCGTCTCCCGGGATACTGATGCGCAGCCGTTAAAGGATGAGTTGTGTCCCTTTGTTGTAGCAGGCTCTTATGTTCGAATACTGGTTAGCTTTAACTGTGGTTATTGGTTTGTCAGCACCCACTGTCCGTGATTGAAGGTGTCCCCAAAATCCATTCCGGCTTGTCTCCCAATCCTGATACCCCGTGATATAACTAGAATGCTGTTCAAAATAGAATTGAACCCCACTCACTCACTGTAAGGTTTCTCGCTGTGGTAAGGAAGACCAGTGTGTCAAATAGCCTCTGTGTACATGCTATAATAAATTGTAATGTTTCACAGGCAGCCGAAACATACTTCAGCCCATTGATCCCGTTTTTCGAGGATTGTACATTGCAGAAAGCATATTCACCCAATCACTCACCAAACCATATCTCTATACCGCGTCAATAGATAATAATAGATGCATATTATAGACAGTTCTTGGAGATACGTTGAATGAGGCATTGATGTGAGCTGTGGCTCTGTCTGGTTCCAACAAGTATTTCATGAGTGCCTGTAAAATATGCGTGGTGTTTTGACGGCCTGCCTAGCCAAAACAGCTATGCCCGAATGTGTCCAATTATCTCATCCTCGGCAACCTAGGGCATATTCAGGGTTGTTATGGAGAATCCGTGGTCGATAATAAGAATAACGATCAACACATAGGGTTAACTGGGTCAGTGTCGTATCTTTTGAGACTTACATAAATCGCGGAGGCAGGATCACTTCATGGAACACATAAAACTACCTTTTCGTCGATCCGACCTCATTTTACAAAGTTTTACTACATAGGCAGTACTCAACACTGCCGTCCCGGCGACGAATCACAAGTTGCTAGATGATCACTGACACCCACGGCTAGCGATTCTTTCTTCTATAGTATGCACTGCACCTACCTTCGACACGGTTGTGGCGCTCTGTAGAACTGTGTTTAGAACCAAGGTCGCTCGGTGCGCTCTCTCTCGGCATGAACCATCCATGGCCAAACGAACAACTCACTCAGTGCCAAGGAGATATCTCCACAAACACGATACAAATGAGCCACGTTGACGTCTTAATGGCCTCACGGACAAATGAGGGATCGGCTCAAGCGTGTCTTACACATGTTCTTAGCTTAGTTCGAACGTTACTGTAGATAGGATCACCGACGAAGTAGACGCTTAAGTGAGTCAGCTTGTATGTAGAACGGTATTGGGAGGCCTCTCGTCTGTGGGAAGGGGTGGTATGTGTGTGTGGGGGAGGGGGGGGGGGGCTGATGGTGGTTAAAAGTGAATAGATTGTCTGATGGTGCTCAGTAAACACATAATTTGTTCTCCACCCTTTACAAATTATATTGACTCCCCCTTAAAGGTGTATTATGGATATTTTAAATCAGTACAATTTGATGTATCTGTACCAAACAGCGGCGTTAGCAGCGTTCATGTATTCAAGAGTGCCCACAACTGGGGCCGCCATTCGATTCCCGACTTGGGTTCAATCTTTCTTGTGCCTACCTCAAACCACCCATCCCACCACCAACCCCCTTCTCGCGCACACTCGCTCGCACGCACGTACGCACTTACCTTGGTGAAATAACTACAATATTGCATTCCTGAACTTACAAAGTCGCTCAAATTACTGATTCTCCTTCAGTTCAAGACTCAGGAAAATTACAGCTTTACGACATCGGCCCGTGAATAGTTGAATCTGAACAAGACAGTTAATCCAGTGATTGATATAATGAGTATTAGTATTCAGTTGGGATAACACGGCATGCGTCAACCAAGTTGACCACCCGATCTCACGAGTCGCCTTTTACGACAACAAGCATGGGCTGCTGAAAACCAATTC